AAGAAAAAATCTAGGAAATTATTAGTCTAAATTTTAAAATTTTTTAAAGTAGGGTTAATAAGTTTACTTTTGTTGAGGTTGTGGAAAGAGAAGTTACCTAATTTAATACTTTTGATTAGCCTGAGACTTTATACTATTTAAAGGTACCTCTCCTTGGATAACCAAAGCTTTTAAAACAAAGAAATCATTCTTTTCCTGAATTTCTACCTTCTTTATAAAAGCCTTTCAATAATATTTAACTGAACTCTTGGTTACTTCCTTTCCTGCAAGCAACTCACATCAATCCTTCCTAACCCTCCTTTCAGACCCCACAAGTAATTTTGATCCTGGACGAAGCAGCCAGATCCAGCTATTTCTGTAATCCTCATCCACTAAGAATAAAACCCTTCTTTAAATATGGAGGCCTCTGCCCTTAGACTGCAGGGTTACTTGATTTCCCAGTGGCACTGCAGTCAGCAAACCCATTTCTTCTAGCCGCTGTCCACCTGTAGTCCTCAAACCTGGCCAACAGAAGCTCCGACTCCACTTCAGTCACCCTGAGTCAGTTCTTTCCTTAAAAGAAACCTTATATCATAGAACGAGTATGATAATCCAATGGGTGGGGGAAGGAGCAGAGGATTGAAGATGTGTGGGTGGTGGGGAGTGTTAATCATAGGGTCACATAATTTGATTGGGGGGGGGTAAAGGAAAGATCCACTGTGAAAAACAATGTGCTTGAACTCTGTAAATAAACCAGTATAATTTATTTCTTTTTCTTTTTTTAAAAAAAGGATACCTTACCCAACACACTCTCATTCATAGCTACCTGTTGAGCATCTGTGAGCACTGGGCACTTGTCTAGGCATTGAGTTAGGCATAAGGTTTTGGTTTGGTTGGGTTTTGTTTTAAATCTCATTGCCAAGGTGAGGAATCAGAACTGGGGCAATTTCAATTTGAAACATGGGAAAGCTACTCTTACTAAGGGTCAATGTCATAAATGACTCATGGAGATCCACTCAGGTCTTACTGTGTTCCTAATATTTCCATCATATTCAAAATGGGTGGATGTGGAGAGGGCTTTGAGAAACAGTATGCGCATCTTCATTATAATAAGTATTCTACACAACCACTTTCTATTTTATTTTTTTTCTCACAATGCTTTTTCCTTCCTTTCTAACCAATTATGGAAAGGACTCTAGTGTGCCTGTGTGTGTGGTGGTGTTATGCACCATCAAGTCAACTATAACTCTCGGGGCTCTGAACCCTGCCCTATCTTGAGCCAATCTCACTGTCTCTAACACACCTGCCCCCATTGCCACAGTCATTTGTGGCTGTTCACAACTGCTCCTCTTCATTTCTGTTTCCCAGTATGGGGGCTCAGCTTCCAGTGCTATTTCTATGAGTCTAAGTGCGTTCTGTTGTTCATAAGGTTTTTGAAAGCATGTCAAGTCAGAAGTGGATGACCAATTCTTCCTAATCTCTTTTAATCTGGTTGTACCTTTAGATATCAATACTGGAAAATCCTTGCTAAAAGACCAAAGACTGATATGCTCCAGAGTGAAACCTAAGTATAGGGAAAGAAACGGAACTATTTCTTTCAATTATACCATCCAGTGGTTAACAAGGACAAAAGATTTTTCTTTTTAGTGTATTTATAATATCAGAAAATCATTTTCATAATCTTTGTATCTGCAAGTTAAAAATACAGTTTTACCCTTAGAGCATGTTTTTGATCCTTTTTATTGACTTTTAAGCAAAAATTTCAAGATGAGGGCAAGTTCCTGAACATGAACTTTGTGCAAAATTTAGATTACAAAAAGACTTTTAAATGCATTAAATCCAGTTATTTTTCTAATTATTGAAAGTTCTAATAGTTAGAGTCACACCACCAGCGCAGAGGCAAACAGATCAAATCCACAAACTGCTCCAGAGGAGAAAGATGGGCAATCTCCTTCTGTGAAACTTACATTCTCTGAAAACCCTCTGGATGGCCAGCAATTATTTTTTTCCAATTCAACGGAACACAACAACAAGAAGAATTGAAAGTTCATTGAGCAGTCCAAGATAGAATCAAGAAATACTGATACATGGCTGAAAGTTGAGGCAGATGTGGACTCTAGCATTCCCATGGAACCTCTGGCAATGCCCTAGGAGTATAGATTGAAAGTTGTTGCTGTTATGTGCCATAGAGTCAACTATGCCTTGCAGTGACCCTATGAACAATGGCTCTGAACCTTGCCCTATCCTGAGCCAACCTCCCCATCTCGACACACTTGACCCCATGGCCACTGCCACTGAGTCAATCCATCTCATCCAGGGTCTTCCTCTCCTGTGCTGGCCCTCTACCCTTTCAAGTATGATGTTCTTCTCCAAGGTCCCTCCTGGAAACATGTCCAAAGTATATGGACAGAGCTTCAAAATCCTTGCCTCCGAGAAGCTATCTGGTTTTACCCTCTCCAAGACAGATTTATTTGTTCTCTTCATACATGAGAACATTCTATAGTATCTTCAGTACTCTTCTCCAGCACCACAACTCAATGTCATTGACTCTTCTTCTGTCATCCTTAGTCATAGTCCAGAGCTCAGATTCACAGCAAGCAATTAAAAAGGTCATGGCCTGGATCAGGCACACCTTAGTCTCTAGACTATGCACCTTAGTCTCTAGACTATTTCTCTATGACTAAATAGAATACTGCTAACAAAAGCAACATGACTTTTGAAACTCTATGAACATTAGAGAAACAATGACAGTTAAGAACAGGGTTCAGATGTTTTGTTCATAGAATCACTATGAACTGTACTGGACTCAAAGGCACTTAATAACACCAACAACAGTCAGATTAAGGAGATGAAGTTATTTGCTGGAAACTACACAGCTATTCAGCTATACAGCAGAACGTCTCAGGGGTCAGGACTCTCATTTTTTTCTATCATACCATTCCTTTTAGTGACAATATGGAGGCACTTTGCAGATGGGTCTTATTTTCCAATACCTGTTCCAAACAAACAAACAAACAAACCACATTGCCATCAAGTCAATTCCAATTCACAGTGACTCTTTCAGACAAAGTAAAACTGTCTCATTAGGTTATAGAGACAGTAATCTTCTGGGAAGCAGACTGCCACATCTCTGTCCCATCTGGTGGGTTCAAACTGCCAACCATTCAGTTTAGCAGCCAAGCGTCTTAAACACTATGCCAACAGGATGTCTTTATTTTTCAATATTTGGATAAAGGTCTAAGTATCACAAAGGTTCCTGTTGCTATGCAACCCAAGTCTGTCTGAATCCAAATCTCCACATTGGCCCTCAAGAGACAAGGTTTTAGATTCTTCTCTCTGAGATACCACGAAAGAAGCATTTTTTGTCTGGGCACCAGGAAGCTTGAGGGAAAGAAGTACTGAGAATAGTGAAGGGACCTGATCCCTGAACTGCTTTCATCAGTTAAAGGGATGAGGGGCGGATGTGCTCTTGCTGAAGGAACCTCTCACTCTCATTGCAGTAGAGTTGGAACTGATTTATAGCTGATCCTCCAACAGGTTTTCAGATGCTGTGAGATGCACAGGAGGAAATGTCTACCTTTCTGCCGCCACTGATAGATGTGCACAGCCTGAGAGCTATGACATTTGGGTTAGCAGCACAACTCCCTAGGAGCTACACAAGAAGTTTGCCAAATTCAGCCTGCCTCAGCCACACCCCCTTTCCTGATAACCCACAAAGAATAGCCTGAACCACTCTACCTTCCAGAATTTTGGTCTGTTTTATTGTGTGCAGTTGCGTTTGAATCACCCAAGAGCTGACCTTCCAGCAGGTTTTCAGAGATATGATCAACAGAGGATCCCTCTAAGTCTTTCTTCCATGGAGCAGCTAGGGATCCGAACCTCCAGCTTTGGAGCTGGTAGCACAACTCGTTACCACTAGGGCACCAGAACTTCCTAGCTTCGAAAGTAGTATTGTATACCATCAAGTGGAACTTACCTATAGCCCACCCTCCAGCAGGTTTTCAGAGGCAGTAAGCCACTTGACAGGAGTTTGTTTATCTTTCTCTGGTGGAGCAGCTGGTGGATTAGAAACTCTTGCCTTTAGATTGGTAGCACAAATTCTTGCCACTAAGACACCAGAGTTCCCAGGCTTCAAGAACAGGCTCCCAGGAAATACTCCTAGGAAGTAGCCCTTCCTCCTTTTCCTCTAAATTAAGTCCATGAGCAAAATTATTCAATGCTCTTGTTCTTAAACCAAATTCCACACCCCTCTATTTTAATCTACCAGCTTCAGTGCAGGAGAAAGATGGGCCCTTTTCTTGTGATTTATAACCTCAGAAAATGACTAGAGTTGTCAGCTCTGGGTCAGTTCTGATTCCTTAGCAATGCATTTTGAGGGAGTGTTGAATAAATACTAAGACTGACTATATTTTGACCTCTAGTTTGTCAGGGAATTGACTTAAGACTTGATCTGAAGTTTGAACACATTAGGAAGCCTAGTTCTCTGCCCTGCTGCCCCACTCACCACAGGACCCCACCCTCTGTTTTATCTTACAACTGACCTTCAGGCTCTTTTGCTTGTGTTTTGGCAACAACATAACCCTCTGACCTCCAGGGAGCCTTGGAGGGAACTACTGTTCACAGTAACTTACTTTAGCTCACTTATCTAGGCAGTTTCTAGGTCTATCTTGAGTGTGGCTCAGCCCACTTCCTCCTGCCTGTCACTGATAGACCAGGAGCTGCAACCTTGGGGATATTCCCATGAGGCAGCCCTTGCTGGAGGAGTGATTTGATCAAATTAGAATTAACTCTTCCTCGTCTTCAAATAAATAAAATCCATCCCAAATTGTTGGAGGTTGTCTTCTCTTTCCTTCTTGTCTTCAACGAGTCTCAAAAAGAATTACCATTTAAAAATCATCTCTCTCTCTCTTTCCCTCTATCACACCTACCCACACACACATGCCCCCCCACACACACACACCCTTTAGGACCTTTTGTGAAATGCATTATTAACATGAAACCTACACTGTTCTTACTTGCAGGAAGAAAACGAGATTCCTGCCAGCGTGTTTGCGAAGGAGCCCGCCTCCAGCGCCCTGGAAGGGAAGGAGGAGCCGACAGCAGAGAACAAGTCCCTGGAGGAGACCCTGCACACGGTGGACCTCTCCTCCGAGGACGAGCTGCCCCACGACGAAGACGCCCTAGAAGACAGTGCCGATGAGAAGCTGGAGGAAAGCAGGGCAGAGAAAATCAAAAGATCCAGCCTCAAGAAAGTGGACAGCCTCAAGAAAGCGTTCTCGCGCCAGAACATCGAGAAAAAGATGAACAAGCTGGGGACGAAGATCGTGTCTGTAGAGAGGAGGGAGAAGATCAAGAAATCTCTCACTTCCAATCACCAGAAAATCTCAGGGAAAAGCTCCCCCTTCAAAGTTTCTCCGCTCAGTTTCGGGCGAAAGAAAGTCCGAGATGGAGAAAGCCCCACGGAAAACGAGACCAAATCAGAAGACACGGCAGGCAGCGAGCAGATGCTGAACGACCACGAGGAGAGCTCGGTGGCAGAGGGGGTCTCGGAAGCATCCCTGGTGGAAGAGAAGGGCGCAGAGGGGGAGGCTGAGAAGGGGGCCCTGCACGGCAGGGACAGTAACGTCAACCTGACCATTGTAGAAGATGAAGAGGAGGCGGCCTTGGAATATGCACAGAAGACACATTATGAGGACAGCTACATGCAAACCCCGGAGGAGACAGAGCGGTCGGATGAGGAGGCCATGCAGCCAGCTGTGCTCCAGGTGGACCAGAAGGCCTAACCCCACAGCCTGCCCGAGCAGTGCTTTTAGATAAGAGGCTGACCAGTACCTAGAAACAAACATGCCTGTACATCTCAGACGTGACCCACCCACTACCACGTTCTGCTCTGCACAGCAAGCATGTATTACACAGCAGCAGCGCACTCCTGACAAAGATTTACTGTGAAATAACGTGGCCAGGGCTCACTTTTTGTAATTTGCTTTTGGTTCTGTTTATGTAGAATTCCTCCAAGTTTTACCAGGGAAAGGAAGTGGAACAGTGGAAAAATTCTAATCAAGTTGGCTTTGTTGAAAAACTGGAGGCTACTTAAGATACTAGTCATAAAATGAGATTCATTCTTTTGGGTTTGTTCCCCACCCCCACCCTTATTTTTTTGGTCATCCCATAAGCTTGCTGATCAATGCACCAGAAATATGTGGTTTCCATGCTAGCCTGTGAATCTAGTATTATTTAGTGTGTGATATGTAATATGCATATGGTTTTTAAATCAAAGGCCCTTTATATTTTAAGAGAGAAATATTCACAAAAGGTAAGAGAATGTTATTGGTTGCAAATTGAGGAAAAAATTGGAAGATTTAATAAGTCACTATTAAAAATATGTAAGAAAAGACTATTAGGAAGGGAAAAAATAGAAGGAAAAGTTAAAAAGAGAGAGAAAGAGTGATGAGAAACAAAAATGCCAAAGAAAATGAAGAATGAAGGGAAAACCATATGCTTATAAGTAAAATATTTACAATATACATATTGTATCTCACTTTTTAAACAAAAATACGAAAGAAGTTTGTATATCCTGGAATAATATGTATCCACAATATTTTTTACTACCTAATATTTTCAGATAATTGGGAAATATTTTTATAGTACTAAAGCTAGATTTGTGTTCATAATAAGAGATTACAAATACTTCTGTAAGGAAGTTCAAAGGGATGTTTTATCTTTAATAGTGGGATGAATATAAATCTCTGACATTAATTAATATGCACTGCCTTTTGTGAGAAAATAGATCTTAGAGTGCTTTATTCTTTCTCAACTTTGAAATAATACTTACATTCCAAATGATGCATTATAAGTTTGAGAGGTTACTATCAACAAGTTAGGCGGTGGAAATATCTTTTTCCTTTTTGGCAGATAAGACTAATGTCATTCATGGTCATATTACATTTCAATATTAATCTCAAGGAATCTTAACATAGTTTTAACATTTTTAAGCATGCTAGTGTTTATGTATATGTATCCATTTATCCAGAGAGGGTAATTTTTCCTGCTACCTAACATTGTACTAAAATATTATGTATTTTTTATTACAAAGTCTAGTGCTTTAAGAAAACTATTAAGTTGTAGCTTAAAGACAGTTGGTCCCAGGGAGAAAATTTCCTGAATTTAATATGTACCACAATAAATAACCTTACAAATATAGGTAACCAAGACATTAACAGATTTCATATTATTTTAATCAAAGATATAGGACTAACAAATGTATTTATGGCATGACCTATGTCTTCTTCTGCAATAAAGTAGCCCCAAATATTGAACTGTTGGGCTAACAAGAGCTGTGTTTGGGAAAAAAAAAAAGACAAAATAAACTAGAAATAAAAAGTATATTACCATGTCAGTTTTTTGGCAGAACAATTTTAGAGTAAGCAGAAAGAATTGATTTTTAAACTGTACTCCACACATAGCAATGTTGATTCCTGATTTCCCCTATTAACTCTGCTTTCTTTTTTTCCCCCAATCTCATTTAGAAATCCAACTCTCATTCTTCAAGTTTAACTTTCTTGACATCACCTTGCCAGCTCTGGAAGAGCATCTGAATTTATTGCAGTGACTTGATGAACTTGATAGTTCCATCTACATTTTTATTGTATTGTACCAGACCTTATAATAGCTTAAGTAGTCCTGCAAACATGAATGTATTGAACTGTATGTTCTGTTTATTCACACAGATAAACCTTTGTCGTGTTCAGGGCCATACATTTGGTCAAAGACTTAATTTCACTCATGACCCAAAGCACACCTACTTAACCTTTATGGAGCTGCTGTTGCATCTAGCAGCTGGGGAGTTGGAAGATCTAGAGCTAATGTAATGTTTACATTTACCTTTTGAGAATGTTTAATTCATTTGTTGCCATAAACTAGCTGCATGTTAGTGGCAAACTGCACTCAAGCACTTTTTAGGTTTTACTGACAATCACATTTGTTCTATGTTTCACATTCATAGCATTAAAGTCATAAGCAATAAAACAGAGAATCGGGCCAAATAATTGTTTGAGCACACACGCTGAAGGGATTAGAGAGAGTAGCAGTTGTGTAAATGGAAACTAGTCATTCTGTATTCTTGTGGAATTTTTTTGCATACTGGTAAAAATGTAAAGTCTCCAAATCAGACATGTCTTTTCTTTCCAGCCATCCAATAATCTTTTCCAACATTGTGTACCTGGAGTTTAAGAATTGGATTAGTTTCCCCCCAAAGATTAGTTATGCATTAATAAAGATTGAGATCCATATTCTTAAATTCAACAGTAAACAGTGCCTATTATCTGTATGAAAGTTGTAGCAGTAATGGTATTTTCTGTAAGGTTTTATTTGAAATTTACAGGTAAGATATTTCAACAGGAATGTTTTTTTCCATCTTTCCACAAAGCAATCTAGAATATGGCAGTATTACTGGTTCTTTCTATACTTTAAACAAAAAGAACAGACCAAGGCTAATATAATTTCTGCACAAAAGAAAGATTTATTTTTTAAAAAAAAAAGTAAAATGAAACCCCAGAATGTTTCTGCTTTTAGCTCATCTAGGAGAGTAAGGTTTGGAGCTTATGTCTTAGGTTTTCAGCTCTGCTACCAGTAAAATAGAAAGTCTTTCAGCATAGCCAGAATGCTAGTATAAGTAAAGGTTATAATGAAAGTCATTTTCTACATTAAGACACTAATGCCCAAGTCCAGTTAATTCCTGCTCGAAAGTTTGTTTACTGCCCTACAGCCCAAATCTAAGTGATTTTATATTGGAGATTTGGAGTTTGAGGAATTGAAGTGCAGGCAGCAATCATTATTAACAGTTCCATAGCAACCACAGGTCTTTTCCTAAAAACCAAGTCTCTGACACTGCAAAACAAGTTTCAGATGAAATTGGCATCGCGACCTTTGTATTCTGCTTGATCTGGTGTCTAGATAAAGACTTCTGCAGCCAGGAACTCATTCCTAAAGGGAATAGGCAGCAACTCACGTCGTTAAGGGCAAAACCTTCTTTTCTTTTTAGCATTGCATTTTTCTAAAATTATTTTTAACTCTCCACAAACTTCCCCAATTAAGGAGCCACACCTTTAGCAGAACAGCTTGATATTCATACATTTAAACACTTCCCATGATAAAAATCAACTCTTTAGGTATTTATTGAGCACTGTTACCTTTATTTTCCTCATTTGCTAAATTTCTAACTGTTCAAATAAGACACAGCATGGGAGGAAGGACACTTTTCATAGCTTGCTTTGTGCCAGGCTGGGCACTCAAATGTCCACCAGTGCTGGGTACCTGCCAATGGCCATGTTGGGAGTCTCTGGGTGGTGTAAATGGTTAGTGCTCTTGACCTGTAACTAAAAGGTTGAAGGTTTGAAGGTTCAAGTGCATCCAAGGGCTATACTGGGATTTCCTAGGTGGTGTAAACTGATAATGGTCTTGACCCCTAATTGAAATGTTGGAGGTTCAAGTACATGCCGCAGTGCCTTGGAAGAAAGATTTGGTGATTTGATTTGGAAAAATCAGCCACTGAAAACCCTGTAGAGCACCATTCTTACTCTGACACACACAGGTTTATCATGAGACAAATGGAGACAACAATAGGTTACTACTTAACTATGTACAATACATGAGTATTAATTTCATTTAATCACACAAAATCCTATTGTTATGTGCTGTCGAGTCACTTGTGACCCATAGCATCATTAGGAAGGGATATTTTTTGTCTCATTTTAATATAGTAGAAAACTAAGACTTTTGAGGTTAATGTTCTCAAAATAGGAAGACAAGGGGTAAGGGGTCATTGTTTTAAACCTGACTTCAGAATTCTTAACCACCCTGAATTCTCATTAATGATATTCTAATCTATTATTTCACTAAGGGTCACAGAGTTCAAGTGACTTACCCAAATTCACCTAACTAGTGAATGGCAGAGCCAGTATTCAAGCCTAGGTTGGAATTCATTCTACTGCTAAAGCAGATCCTAATTATATCACACAATTGTGCTTAATTATGAATCACTTTATAAGTTTTAGATGATATAGCAGTACTTCATTTTTCAGTGTTCTTTATACAACATCAAATAAAAAGCTGTATTTTGTAAATGAGTTTGATGATGGTGGTCATGCCAATGTTGTTGTTATGTGCTGCAGAGTTGCCTACAACTCATAGTGGCCCTGTGTGAAACATCTCTGAAACCTGCCCTGTTCTGAGCCAGTCTCACTAACTCTGACACATCTACCCCCATGCCCCAGTATCAATCCATCTCATCAGGAGTCTTTCTCTCCTGTGTTGTCATTCCACCCTTCCGAGCAAGATGTCCTTCTCCAAAAACTGGTCCCTCCTGACCCTAAGTTCATGAAACAGACTTCAAAATCTTAGCCTCCAAGCAGAAACTTGGTTTCACTCTAAGACAGACCTGTTTTCTTGGTGGTTCATTCTATGTTCAAGACTCTTCTCCAGCACCACAATTCAAAGGCATTAATTCTTCTCTGTCATCCTTAGTCATTGTCCAGCTCTCCGATGCATAGCAAATCATTATGAAGACCATGGTTTGGATCAGGTGCACTGAAGTCTCTAGACTGACACCGTTACTTCTCAGGACTCTGGAGAGATCCCTGACAGCAGATTTTCCCAGTGCAGTTGGTCTTCTGATTTCCTGGCTGCTGGTGCCAAGAGTGTTGATTGTGGAGCCGAGCAAGCTGTAATTGTTAACAAGCTCAATCTCCTCTCCATCTATCATCATGCTGCCAATTGGCCCAGTTGT